CCCCCGCCCCCGCCCCCCCAAATTGCCTGTCACCTCTAGTCAATTGCAGTCTTAGAATCTCCATCTCAGTTCCGCCATGCTACCTTATCGCACTCGCAGTTTCGCAATTCACCTCCACCTTGCAGACCGCTGCTCCACCTCTCACCCAAACCAACCAAACCGGACTGCAATTTCCGTGGACCAATTTGTTCGTGAACACCCATCTTCTGTCGGTGTTGGTCCGTCGACAGTGCTCACCGAACTTGTCAATAATACAGTGAGCAGTATGGGCCCAACACCGAACTAAAACCTAACCAACGAACAGGCGCATTTTGCCAATTTTTAAAGCTCCACCAGTGCCATTCAAAGGGTGCATCATTTCGATATGGATAAGAGAATGATCGTACATGTACATAAGTGTTTTTTTAAGGGAAGAAAACATCAACTCTAATATATACAAATAAAATTTAGAGTGCTTCTATTATCATCAGTCAAAATGCTTACCCCACCCCCTTTGGGGGGGGTTGGCGCGGCGCTGATAGAGCAAGATGATTTGAAAGATTTTGACGGATCGTCAATGGGCCGGGTTGGGCTAGCCCGGCCCAAATTTAATGGGCTTGGGTTGGGCCGGGCCGGACTTTAAAGAGGAGAGAGAAAATATCGAGCCGGGCCAAAATGGGCCTAAAAAATAATAAGTGTAAAAAAAAATAATTTTTTTTATAAGGATGGTATGAATAAATATGCAAATGTTTGGTGATGTGTTAAAGAAAAGTATGATTATATTTGGTGGTATGATTATGTTTGGTGATATGATATGTTGTTTGTCTTATTATATATATATATATAATTGTTGTATTAATAAATAACACAAATTAATGTGCTAATCATCCAATTATAAACTAGGAATAAGTAGAATTCAATGGAAACAAACACAATTTTTCAAACAAGTAACACAAACAAAAAAATTAAAGAGGGGGATTTGTCATTCAAGTGATGTAATCCTAATCCTAAACCCTTATTTATACATAATTATATATGTATGCGGGCCTAACGGGCCGGGCTTTTGTGGGCGGGCCGGGCCGGGCTTTCATGGGCTTAATCGGGCCGGGCCTATGGGCCGGGCCGGGCTTCAAACACCCAAGCCCAAGCCCGGCCCAAGCCCAAGCGGGCCGGGCCCTCTCAAAGCCCATAACGGGCCGGGCCGGGCTTTTTTTCAATGGGCCGGGCGGGCCCCCGTAGGCCCATGAGCCCGCGGGCCAAATGATGAGGCCTAGTACACAAGATGTCAAGGTGAGAGGCTTTGTGTTAGAAATGTGCCCTAAGAGCCAATACATTTGATGTAATCTCCTTAGAATACATTTCGTATATGATATATAAAGGGCAAACTTATTT